CTCCTTCCTCTCTTTTGTAAGCAAGAGATGGGGGCAGACAGAGGAAGAGTGGAGACTGGAATAAAGTGCTTTAGTTTCCAATTGTTGCTATCACAAGTCCCCACAAATTGAGTAGCTTCAAAGTACATAGATTTATTTATTATCTTACAATTCTAGAGGTCAGAAGTTCAAAATCAATCAATTGCATTGGTCTGGTTCCTTTTAGAGACTTTAGATAGAAGTAATTTCCTTGCTTTCCCCGGCTTCTAGAGGTCACCTGCATTCCTTGGCTGTGGCCCTTCTATGGTTTGCATGTCCCCACCAACACTCACGGTGAAATTTAATCCCTATTGTGAGTTTGTAAAAGGTAGAAGAACCAGGTTGGACCTTTAAGACCTATTGGATCATGAGATCTGTGCCCTAATGGATGGATTAGTCCTTTCATGGATTAGTGATTAATGAGTTAATAGATTATGAGAATATAAAAAAGCCACTCTTTTCTTGTGTGTGCCCATCTTGCTGTGTGATGCCACCTCAGAAGTCTTCACCAGCAGAAAGACTCTCACCAAATGTGGTCCCTTCCTTGGACTTCTCAGCCTCCACCACTGTAAGCTGTACTTCATATATTTACTCAGACTGTGGTATTGTTATATCAACAGAAAACGGACCAGGAGAGACCCCTAGCTGCATCTTCAAAACCAGAAGTATAGAATCTTTAAGTTTTTGATCTTTCTCTTCATTCCACTTCCATTCTTCCTATTGTATCTCTTACTTTGACCCTCTTGCTTCCTCTTCTAAGGACCCTTGGGCCCACTAAATAATCCAGGCTAACTGCTTTATTCTAGGGTTTTAATCCCAATTGCAGAGTCTCTGTGGCCATAGGAGGTATCATGTTCACAAGTTTTGGAGATTAGAAGGTAGCTGTCTCAGGGTGGGGAGCTGTTCAGTTAGTTATGCCAAGTCTATTAGACTTGTTAGTGTTCCGTCTCTGACAAAATTTCTGTTAAAATCAACTTAAAGGAGGACAGATTTATTTTGGCTGATGGTTTCAGTTCCTAGCCAGCTGGCTCCATTGTTTCTGGGCCTGTGGTGAGGCAAAGTGTCATGGTGCTTGGGTGTGGCGGAGGAAAACTGCTCATCTCATGGTGGGTGGGTTGGGGGTAGGGAGGGGCTGGGAGCATGTCTCCAGTGTCCTACTTCCTCATCTAGGCCCTTCTAACAGCCATTCAGCTATGAACTCATCTATGGATGAACCCATTGATGCGGTTAATTAGTGCCTTCATGATCCAGTCACCTAAGTCCTATCTCTGAACAACTGCTGCACAGGGGACCAAGCCCTCAACACATGCATCTTTGGAGGGACACAGATACCTAATGTCATGCTCTGTCCACAATACCAAAAACTTGCACATGGGATTAGGGTGGAGGATATGCAGGGTTATCATCCCTAGACTTGTCTTGAAATGTAGGATCATCAGGCCAAGATGTATGGGATGTGAATGGGTCAGTCTAAAATGAAATAGTCTCAAATATTTTTCTCTCATTCTTGGGCAAGGCACATTTACTTTCTGAGCAGAAGGCTGGATTGGCCTTGTCTTTTTGCTGTTCATAGCTTGAATTTCACAATTTGGTACACTTAAAAATCTCTTTTCCTCCCTCCTATGAGGTTCTTCTATTGTTTTTGCTTATTGATTTAACTACTTCATTTGTTTTAGACATCTGAGTTCTCAGCTGTTGGGGAATCCATCAACACGTGCCAGCTCTGTATCTTGAAGGGTGGCTGAAACATGAGAGGGGGAACACTGGGCTTTGTGCCTGGAGTCACCTCCTACTCTCTCATACTTGGGCCAGCTCGCTTCTCTGGTGCCAGCTTCTTGGCCTGAGGACCAGCTCCACAGTGGCTCCTTGCCACCTGCTGGAGCTTTGGGTTTGGTGTTAATTGCATTATTCATACTTTCTGGGCCTTCCAGGGAGTGACTGGTTTAGTGAGAACCTTCTTTCTCTGCCTGCCAGCTTTGGGGGGACATTGGGCAGGGCTGGGGAAGTGGGATGAAGGATCTTCAAAATTACCACCAGGATAGCTTTACATAAACCAGTAAGTATCTTTATTGCTTTGGTCTGGGTAGGCTGATAGTGGGCCGGGCGTCCTGAGGCCCAGATAAGGGAAAGTTTTGGCTGAAGGTGAGCTGATGGCTGCAGCAGAGAAGCCTGGCACTGGAACTTACTGTCATTAAGTCTGCATGACACATGGGGAGGAGCCTGTTTCTCTCAGAATAGAACTGTTTTGTTTTCTCTGAAACTTGATACTTGCATTTTTGCAGAGAGGGTCTTTTGTTTTGGATCAGGAACCAGCCGACATAGAGTGGGGTTTTCACAGCCACTTTTCCAATGGAAGAATGAAATCTGCCTATTCTTTAACTTCCTGGATCCACCTATGCCTGAAGTTAGAATTAGCACAAGGACAATTCAACTGCATGAACCAGTAAGTACCTTCTTTGCTTAAGAAGGTTCAAATTGGGTTTCTGTCTCTTGCAACTGAGGAATGGAGGAGGGTGATGGGGCTGAGAGCCTGTAAGGGGGCACAGAATCCTTTTCAGGAGATATCCCCCTGTGCTACCCTACAGTCCAGGTGGTGGGTGGTGGGCCAAGTACCACAGCTGCGGAGCAGAAAGACAGGCAGCCTCAGTCCCCCAGAAGTTGAGCTGATGAGGATGATCAGCTGTGGTGTGGTTGAGGATGTGGCAACAGTGCCCAGAGGTCTGCAGCCCTGAGATATTTGGAGCTGTGCTGGGCAGGCATGGCTCGATTGCAGTCTGGATGCCCAGTGTGCCGGCCCCAAGTCTGCACTGGGCAAGTGGGTCTTGGGCTCAGGAGGTGCCATGTGAGGTAAACCTGTACTGAGCTCAGGTCAGAAGATTCAAATCCCCTGTGATGAAGCTGCCTTTCCTCCCACTGCTCATGCCCAGGTCCTGGTCGATGCCTGAGTGTAAGGATGGACATAACAAGAGTGTGCAACACTTGAGTATGCATGTAGGAAGGACCTGTTTGTGCATGAGGGGCACCAGTGTGACACTGAAGCGGTCTGAGCAAATGACACAAAAGTACAGGGGGTAGCAGACAAGTGGTGCTATGTGAGTGTGTCTGGGGTGTCTCTAGGAATTAGGTGTGGGGGATCCCATGTATGTATGTCAGTAGGCTTGGCTGGAGTGACAGTGGATGTCCCATGTGGGGGCTTTTGACAGCCGTACTTGGTATCCTTCCCCTTTCCCTCTGGGGTGGTGCTTGTTGCCTGGTTTAGCAGATGCTATTGGTGCTCTGTCCAGAGACCTTGGAAACCATGGTCCAATGAAGCTGACCCAGTCCATGAAGCTCATGCTGTTCACCACAATGGCTTCATCTTCAGCAGTTGCAGCTCCCCTATCTGAAGACCTTTTTTTGACGTGAGAAGCCCACTTGGCCTGTGCCATGGCAGGAATTATCCTCCAAAAAGCAGCCTCCAAACAATGACCACTGAGGGCTGGTGTATCTCCCACACCCTCAGGAAGGCTGACTTGAGGCATGATCAACCCTGTGTCTCAGAGTTGCCATGGGACAGAGCACGGTGTCCCTTAGTGGTAACATGCTCGCTGGCCTGGGTAGGCTGACAGTGGGGCAGGGGTCCTGAGGCCCAGAGAAGGGAATGTTCTGGCTGAAGGTGAGCTGAAGGTGATCAGCTTGCCTTCCCTCCCACTACCTGTGCTGTTCCTGAGATCAGCTCCCAAACCAGCCTCCTGCATCCACATCTTGTCCCAGGGTCTGGCCCGGCCCCTCCTATCTGTATGTGCTGGTGATACAGCTTCACCTCCTATTTCCTTGGGGCCTTGATGAGCCAGCCTATGCCCAGGCACAGGGGTCTTCTATTCAGTTCTTACTTTCAGGCCCCTGGCGGAGAGGAGGCTGGTGTCTCTGTAGGAACGTGCAGAGGACCTTATGCGGTGCTGTATGTGGACCTTCCATAGCACAGGGCGTGCCATGGATGAGGCATAGAAACAGGAAGGACCAAGAGCCCAATAATCCCAAGGACCTGAGGGATCCTGTGTTTGGAGCAGGTGTTATTTGTGGTTCAGATTTGGGACAGCTTGAGGCTGGATTCCATCACCATGAATGCTACGACCTTCATTTTAGGAGGAGCCCTGGATCATAGAATTGGCACCTCAGCCATGCACAGCAGTGATGAGAACAGAAGTGGGGTTATTTTACATACAGGAAGTCAGGGAGAGGCGTCAGGCTGTGCCCAGTAAGAGGGGCTGGAAGATAGGCATTTGCCCTGTACAGAGTGCTTGAATGTGTTCAGCCTTATGGAACACCCCGAGTGAAAGACAAGCCATAACCAAAACAGCATATCCTGTCTACAGCTACTAGTGTCCACGGGCAGTGGGTTTCCAAGCCGGGGGAAAAAGGGGTTCAAAGGCATCTGGTTCACATAAACAGTGGCAGCAACCAGCCAGGAGGTGGCAGTGTGGGCTCAAAGTGCAGGCAGCCAAGCAGGCCATTGTACTCCACCCCTCCAGTTTGGGATGGGATCAACAGTCAAGGTCACAGTCCTACAGACTGCACAGAAAGGAAGAGGATTTTTAGAGTGGAGTAAACAACTCATTTCAGTCTAATTACAATCTCCCCTCTTCCTGGTAGTATATACCATCAGGGTGATAAAAGCCAACTGTTGTTAAAGTTAAATGTGTGATCTTGTGTTCCTGGAGTCAAGCCCTGAAACTGGCAACCCACTGCCATGAACTGTACACCAGATAAGTCTCACAGAAAGGATGCCACGTCTCAGTGAGATCCAAAAGCAAAACAGGAGCTCCTATAAACCTCTTCCTACCCAACTATCCACTCCAGTAAGAAACTGATTGAATCCTGAGATGTCATGGGCACGGCTCACCTGCTACAGGGACCCATATTTCCAGAATGTTGCTGCCTGGAGCTTCCTTGCCTTCAGATTTCTGCCCCAGGAGCCCACATGCACTCATGAAAGTGATACTTCTTGTTACATTTTTATTGATATAGTTATTTTGAACACAGAAAAGATACATCGTTGCTTATTCAGCATCAGTCCAGGAACAAGAAAAGCTGCTCAGCTCCAACCTTCAAACACCAACGAGTAGGCAGGGATTTTTATATTTCCCCAGCACTCTAGAGTTTCAGAGACAGAATGCATTTCCTAAAAGAGTCTCATCCCTGGGGTACATTTTAAAGGCTATACAGTACAACGGACAGATGTTTTTTTGCCTAGAAAACAGTATACCACAAAGGAGGACAGAACTGCTTGTAAACAATGTCCCTCACCCAGGCCGGAGTCTGGGACTCCATGATGCCACACACAGGATGCTATAGACCCTCTGGGTGGATTCCTTTCAGCTCTGCACCAGAAGAAATGCTATTTCTACAGAAGATAAAATTCAAGATCACCATTCTTACCACCTCTGTTTAAGAAAGGGATTATTGAATTGTCTTAGCCCTTCATCGGAAGAAATTAAATGTTGGGGAGGAGGTTAAGGGGAGCTTGCCGTTTAAGGATGAGTGACAGAGGCAGATGGGAGGGAGGCCGGGTTACTTGCTCCCCACCAACAGCAGTGCTGGCAGGGACCCTCTTCAGACATCCTTGGCTGCCACCCTTGGCAGCCTGGGTCTTCAGGAGTTGCTGCTGTTACCCACACGGTCTCTGATGGAGGCTGGTCCATAGGCCAAGCTCTGAGTGCCCAACCAGGCTGACCACACATCCCCGGCTGTGGGAGAACCCTGGCAGCGAAGCTGAGACTCTGGTCCTCTGGTGGCGGCATGATGGTTTTTATGGCGCTCATATCCCCTTTAGTTTGACTCTGCAAACAGCATGCAGGGTCAAGGCTGGAGTGCCCTGACTCACAGTTTCCAGCTGTCGCTGCCACCCAGGTTGACAGCACCAGCTCCTGGGGTGTGGCTCTAGACCATTTGAGCTCAGGCCACTGTGACTGGCTGGGCGTGTACTGAACCAGGGGCCCTCATCTGCCTTAGAGTGACTTTGGTGAGGCCCCCTGGACGACAGCGATGGCCCTATCTTCTCTGAAGACTCTGTCCTGGGCAGTGGTCAGACTGATGTGGGATTCACGGAACCCCGTTTCCTCTACCACATGCCACTCAGGGCTCTGGCCCCCCCTTGTAGCTTGGGGTGGGCTTCTGAGATAACTCTGCTAGCACCACCAGCCCAAGGGCACTGGGTTAGGGAAGGGACTTCCCCATCCCATGTCCTTGTGCCCCCAGACCTAGGTCCCCACCCTGTAACTGGCAGGATGGTGATGTGACTCTTCTGTCCTGCAATTGAGAGATAGGCACAGCACACAGCAGGACCTCACAGGGGCCTGCCCCACCTCCCAGGAGGATAAGCCCTAGGGCCGGGGTCGGGGCAGGCAGCTGGCCTGGGCTGGTCAAGCAGTTTCTGGAGGCAGAATCAGAATTTGGGCCCAGTCTACCAGGTGAAGCCGGGGGAGGGGGCAGAGAAGGCCTGATTCCTGCTTCACCCTTCTGCCCAGCACTGTCCACAGAGGCACAACCAGCAGGCCAGGGAGGATGGGGTGGAAGGCCGGGAGACCTTCACTTCTAAGGAAACCATTATAGGTAGGTTTTGTGTGGGTGTGGGGCCTGTGGATGCTTGTGTTCACACTTGTGTGGGGCAGGTCTATGTGCGGCACATGGGGTATGTCACTGTGTCTGTGGGTGTGATCATGTCTGTGTGTATGCATGAGTTGTGTGTGCACATCTGTGTGTATATGTGTGTCCGAGTGTGTCTGAAGGATGTGTCTCAGCCTGGACGGACCAATAGGACCTGGTGGGCTGGATCACTCACACAATCCTTTCAGGGCCTGAGGCTGAGGCCTGGGTAGGAGTAGCCAAGCCCCGTGAGTTCTCCGGACCTGGTTCTGGTCCTGGCAGCAGCCGCAGGCCCGATGGGGAGCCAGCCCCACACACGGCCTCGTAAGAGGGCAGCATGTCCATGGAGACGGTGTGGAGGTCACTCTGGGTCCCGGTCCTCTGCTCTTGCTTGTGACCACTGGGGCTGGGGCTACTGCCTGAGTCGAGAATGCCATTCAGTGTGGGGCAGGAGTTGGTCAGTGAGTAGGGCGGTGGTGCGTCCGTGGGGACATACAGCTGAGTGGCCCCAGGCCCCACACACTCTTCGTAGCTACAAAAGAAGAGGTTCTCTTAGGGCTGTGCAGAGCTCGGGGCACTCGGTGTGTGTGTGTGGGGAGGGTCCCTCATCAATTTGCAGTGATGAGCTGCTCAGGCTGTGGACGGTGGGGGCGCTCATCCATGCTGGCTCTGTGAGCCCCACTACTCTCGGGCGGGGCGCCCTGGTACCTAGGCCTGGGCTCAGGACTCGGTCAGTCCTCGTGTTCTCTGAGAGCTCGTTCTCTGGGTCTCGGGTTCCTCAGAACACTGTAGCAGCCTATGCCTAGGGAGATCTCCCAAGGGAGTGCTCAAATCGCTTGTAGGTGGGCAAGGAGCCTCTCTGAGCCCACGCGTGTGGGCAGAAAGTCCCCAGTGCTCTCCTAGTGCCCCTGGGGGAGGGGAGGAGGATGTTCTCTCTGGGGCTGGAGGGGCTTAAGGCACGGAAGGGGTGTAGGGGTGAGGTGACCCCTCCTCCCTCTGCAGTACAACTGCTGGGGGTCTGCCTGCTGGTGGCTGGGAGGAGAGCACTTGCCCCCCTCTCCAGGAGAAGAGCCCCTGGACAAGGTCTTGAGTGCTTCTGTCCCAGTGAATGTGATTTGGGATTTAGGGGCTCGTGTGAAGGAGCTGGGGCCTGGATCCTCCACCCTGAAAGCAGGAACCTATCATCCAGCAAACTCCCAGTCCATCTCCTCCTCTTCTCACTGCCAGTCCCTGGGTTCCCTGGGAACAATGGCAGAAGACATGACTCCCTCCCTCAGGCCCCATGACCTATTGCCCTTTGGTAAGACAGGAGCAGATATCCCTTCCTTACTGGGTTTTCCTGAGGTTGAAGAAGATACTGTGACTTTCTGGGGCTGAGGCTGAGGGTTGGAGAGAGTCCTATAGTTCCTGAGGCTGAGTTCTGAGGATGCCCCCGGGCTCATGGGCACTTGGGAGAGGACAGGCCTGAGATCAGGAACCGGGCCTGAGGGGACTCCCTCTGTCCATGTAGCTCATCTAAAGGAACGGGCCTCTTCCTTCTCCTCCTCCTCTCCTACCAAGGGTTGAACATAGGGACACTCTCCCACGGAGCTACATCCGTAGCCCTTTTTATTTTGTATTTTGACACAGTATCTTGCTAAATTGCCCAGGCTGGCTTTGAACTTGCGATCTTCCTGCCTCATACCTTCCTAGTAGCTGAGATTAAAGATGTGCACTACCATATTTGGGATGGGGCTGTTTCTGATCACTGTCAAGGTGCACTGGGAAGAAAGAAGAGTTCTCCCTGAGTCAGAGTAGAATGTTGGATTTGTCTCAGGCAGGATGGATGGGGGAGACGCTAAGCACCCACACCTTGCCCCAGGCTGATTGGGGTTAGGGCTTGGCCAGGGCTGGGCAGACATCTGAGGCAGGGGTGGGGTAGGGTGAAAAAGGCTGAGACTCCCCCACATCATCAAGGCTTGCCAGACAACAGAGCTGCTAAGTGTGGGGTCCCTGGGGTTGAACCTGCAGCCACTGAGGCAGACTGTGGGGATGAGGACAGGTTACTGGTGTTAAAGATGACAGCATGGTGGGTTTTAGAATAACCTGACCCTCCTCTTGTCTAAGCACCCCCTCAAGACAGGTGCTGCAGCAGACCCCCACGGAGCTTAGAATGGCTGCATAAGGCCACCCCAGAACTGCGAACCCTTACCCCCTAGCACAGCTTCCTGTGACATACCCTGCCGTGTCACACCCTGCCTCAAGGGGACCACCTTGTCCTAGGGGTGAAGAGATGGCCACACCCACAGTGTTTCTGCATTTAGACTGTGGACCTCTTCTATCCAGAGCCCCACCTCTCAGAGCCCCCCAGGATGTGCCCACCTTACCCTGGTGGAGAATCAGGGTACAGCTCCCTGAGCACCATGGCATCCACGTCTCCCTCAGAGCTGATGTCCAAGGGTGGGGGCCAGTCCTCTGTGGGGCTGCAGGCTGAGCGCATCCTGTGGCTGGAGTGGCTGAACGTGCGCCCGTCGGACCCTGCAGGAGACAGACCAGCAGCCTGGGCCTCAGGCCAGTGCCAGGGTCGGCCTGGGGCCGCCGAGGCGCCGCTGTCCCACCTGACTGTCCTTGTACCACACAGTGACAGCAACAGCCCCAGATGTGAGTGCTGTCACTGCACTGGGCACAGGTCGCAGAGTGGAAGCAGGGAGGGAACCCTTGTCTTGGGACAGCCTGGTCATGGGCAGTATGTCCTGGGCTTTGACAGAGTTAGTGGGTGAGATGTGGGGGAACAGAGAGGGAGAGGTGGGACCTGAAGGAGGGGACTAACAAGTGAGCCAAGCAGGGAGAGGGAAAGAACAGTGTAAATAGGAAGCACTGGGTGGTAAAGTAGGGCTGGGCATGAAAAATGGGCACAATGGCCAGAAATGAGGGCTGCAGAGGTGCTTGGGATCAAACCTTCATATGCTTTCCTGCCCCAACTACCGTGCCCTTTTAGTAAGGGGTGGTTTTCTGTGATGAGTCTGCTGACTGCACATCCTGCATTCTACTTTGTTTTTGTTTGTTTAACCATACACTAGCATACTAAAAGCTCTGACAAGTCCTGCAGCTAAGCAACACGGTTAACCGTGCTTGTGCAACATTTAAACACTGAACTGTCAATCTGTTTAACACTAGTCAGGGAGTGCTGCTAGGGCACAATCTTATTATGAGGATCAGAGAGGCCCAGTAACTTGCTGGAGGCCTGGCTGATAGGGCCAGAAGGTGGCTGGATGTCTTGGCTCCTTGCTTTCTAAATAGTCCCACCCTCCAGTTTTGGTTAAGGCTGGTCATGGCAGCTGCAAAGATGGCTTAGACTTAAGTCCTCCCCACCTGGAAGGCTCCCAGGAGACCCCTCTCCTTCAGGTCTGGGGCTCAGCATCCAGCATATTGTATAGACCAGGAGGTTGGGCTCCAGGTCACACACCTGGTAAAGTACGGAGATGGAATTCAAGCAGCTTGCATAAGCTCAGACCTCTGCCCTCCCCTGGTCTCTTTTCCCACTGTAGGTTCTGACAGGAGTGGGAAAATCTGGATATAAAAATCACATCTGCAGGTCTAACTCCAGGTTCTATACGGATACAGGGAAAGCTCTCACAGGCAACTATTCTCAGCACGGCCGTATGGGAGGCTCTGACCCTTATTTTCTTTATATTGCCTGTATGTTTAAGGTTTCCTACAATGAAGATGTATTACTTTTCTACTAGGAAAAATGAACCCAATAACACATGCTGTAAAAATGAAGCTGGGGAGAGATTTGTTCCCCTTCAGCGTGGATGATTTGGAAGGCTGTGGGGAGGGAACCCCGGCAAGAGGACAGCAAGCAGCAGCCAGTAAGGCCAAAGCTGCTGGGGAAGGACTTTGTCCTGGCAGGGGGCTCACCTGCAGAGAGGGAGGCTGCAGTTGCTACCCAGGACCCCTGGGAAAGCCAGGGCCACTTCCATATCCCAGGGCTGTAAACTTCTATTTACCCTCTCTTCTCAGGCTGCCTTTGCTTGGGCCTTCCAGAGGCTGAGCATCTCGGGGAAACTGAGGTTGCCCTGAGGTACTTGGCCAGCTCATACCTCCATCTGGAGGTGACCAAGTTCAGCCTAAGACACCCTGCTGGGCAGCCCCTTTCCCATCCCCCAGCCCTTCCTGACTTGGGCAGTACAGACACAAGTGGTGCAGGCCTCTAGAAGCCCTGGGCTTCTAGAAGGCGAAATCTCCTTATTTCTCTTTGGACAAAATTAAGAAATTTTGTTGAGCCCAATCCATGGTTGCCACCCCTTGACAGGCTGGCGAGGCCCTAGGGAGGAGAACCTGGGCCCAGGGCCACCGCTCACCCCATCAGATGAAGAGGTAAGGGCTGAGGTGTGGAGACAGACAGCCGGCCACCAGTGCTCTCTCAGTCTCTGGATCTTCCCATCTTGTGAAATAGAATCTCTCCCTCCCCTTCCTCCCCCTTATCTGTTGGCTCCTCTCTGTCTGGCCAGAGGGCAGAAAGGCCCCTGTGGGCAAAGCAGCAGGCTGATACTCTGCTAAGGACAAGAGGAGCCATGGAGGGCTGCTGATTGGAAGGCTGATGTGGTCAAGTCCAGCATGAGGTTGGTTGCTGGGGAAGAATGCCTTGCACAGCCAGGCTGGCTGCAGGCAGGAGTAGAGGCAGTGGCCCAGAGGTAGGTTTTCTCAGGAAAGAAAATGGTTCACATTTACGGAGCACTGACTCAGTATTCACTAACTTAGTCTTTGCGATAACCCCCAGCCCCCAGTACTGGGAATCGAACCCAGGGCCTTTGCACTGAGTTATATCCCCAACACATTTTTAGTTTTATATTTTGAGACAGGGTCTCGCTAAGTTGCCCAGGCTGGGATCTAACTTGCAATCCTTCTGCCTCAGCCTCCTAGAGTGCTGGAATTACAGGCATCAGCTACCATGCCCAGCTCACAATAACTTTCGGAGGTGGCTCCCCATGTCCCATTTTATAGATGGCTTGCCTGAGATACAGAGAGGTTAGTAACTTTGCCCAGGTTGGAGAGTAAAAAGTGGAAGAGGACATGCTTTGGAATCCTAAGTCAGAGGTGCATGCCTGTTTCCCTTTGAAAGGCCAAGGCTGACCTCTTAGCTTGGGACATTTGGAGTGATGGTGGTCCCTAGCCTGGGTGCCTGTCACTTCTTTTTTTGGTACTGGGGATAGAACTCAGGACTTTGCACTTAGGAGGCAGGTGCAGTGCCACTGAGCTAAATCCCCAGCCCTCGTCACATCTTGCTGTGAGGACAGGATGAGGTGGTTCCTTGTCCCTGGAAGACCTCCTCTAGGTGGGACGCGGACCCAGGGTGGAATCAGCCTCATGGTCACTCCATGACTGAGGCTCAGATGGAGGTGTGGGGACAATGTGGAGGAAATGCAGGGGCGGGAGATTATGATGCAACTCTGCCTGGTAGGGCTAAGGAGGGGCCACAGAAGCTCCCAAAAGGAGGTGGCATTGGACCTAGGCCTGGATGGTGTTGGTAGCTGTGGAATAAAGGGACAACAGTCTGGCAGAGGGCAGAGCAAATGCAAAGGGACTAGGCTGAAAGGAGCATGGACGGGAGCTTAGAGAGGAGCAGAGTGAGGGGCAGGTGCACCAGGCCGGTGGGAGGTGGCTCCACCAAGCTCCACCCTGGGGTGGGTGGTTAAAGGTGGTGATGGGCTCCTCCCAGGAAGAGGGAATACCCTGGTCCTCCTGGGTCAGGCTGGTGACTCGAGTGGGCTGGGCCAAGCCTGCTCTGGGCAATACTCCTGGCTGATCTTCTTGGTGGTGTCCTTAGTTTCTGGGGACCGGCTGGCTGAGCTTGACACCTCCATTCCATTCATGAACGCTGGCCTCTCTCTTTAATCCTCATCAACAGCAGACCACTAACTGGCTGTCTTTCTTCCACTGGGGACACTTGTCCCTCTGTGTCCTAAGGTCTGGCTTCCTGCCCTTCTCACAGCTTTTCCAGAGGAGGAACAGCTACATGTGAAGGACCCAGGTCACAGGAGCATCTGTAGACCTTCCTGAGCTCATAGGCGGCCCCCACCGGCATCTCTCCCAGCCCTTCCTTCCCAGGGCTGTGACCACTGCAGTGCTCAGCCTGAGGGCAGCCAGGTTGGGCTGCAGGGGTTCGCATCTTGGATCCACCACTCCCTATGGTGAGGACGCTATACAGTGCGATTCGGTACAGAAAGCGCTGGGCACTCGGTGAGTGCTTCTCACCCATCGCCAGCACTACCAGGCTTCCTCTGCTCTCCAGCTTAACTGCTAAGAAGTGGCATTCTAACCAGTTAGTTCTGCTGAAAGAGGAAACTTCTCATTCACTCTGGTTAACCCGGGAGTGCTGGGAGGCCTCCAAATGTTCTAGGCTTGTTGGATCCAATTCAATCCACCCAGAAACTCTGACTTTCTTTCTTTGTCCCAGGCTCCTAAAGGGGAAGAGCCCCTCAGGTCTATGCCATGCCTCAATCTTGAGGGGCTGAGAGTCACTTCATCCGCAGTATGTGGGGCCCTGCTGGGATTTGATTCTGCCCTTCCTGGCCTGCTTGTCTTCCCCTACTGCAGATTGGCTTTGGCCTCTGGGTAGAGCCCTGCAGGCTCCACACAGGCTGCTGTGGGCAGGGGTCTGGCTTTTCCGGCCAGTGAAAATTGTCTGAGAATTGAATGCAGTTGAATTCTTTCCTGCTGGTTTTAGACACCAGATCCCCTTCAGGAATGGGAGTCAGGTGCTGCATTCTGGCCAAATGGATACTTCTGGAATTGGTGCCTCAAGAATTAACCATCTCTCTTTAAGGGTGATTCTCATAATTGAGAGACCCGCAGATCGCTTCTTTGTATTTGCACTTCACAGGCCCTCTGGGATAGATTTATTTACTGCTAATTCATCCCATCCAATCTTCTATCCACTTACTCAAAAACCAACTCATGCCAGTCACCCCACCCATCTCCTACTTTCTGTCTATCCACCTTCTACCCTCTGTCTACCTTACCTATCCCTTCTATCCCACTCAACCATCCTTCCAGTCATCCCTCTTTCCATCCACCCCATCTTCATTCATCCAATCCTCCACCCACCTCCCGTCTACCTCGCCATCCATCCTCCATGCTGGTACCGGCTAGGAAATGTGAAACACTCTTCCCCTGGCCTTTAGCCTCACCTGGAGTTCCTCTTTTGGCAGACCACACAGGGCCTCTCATGCTACAGAGCACACCATGGCGGGCATCTGTGAGCTCTTTCTGATGACCTTCCCTGACCACCCAGCCCTACCCACAGCAGAACCACCCCCTCCCCAAAGCCTCCCAGGTTCAGTCATAGGAGCAGCCATCCCAGGTCCCCAGGTGGGCAGCAGCTCACCGTGGTTCTGCTCGTAGTCCTGGTTTCCGTGTTGCTGGCAGTGGTGATGGTGGCGCTGGAGCCGGGCCTGCCTGTCCCTGCGGATGCTGCCCACAATGATGGTGATGCAGGAGAGGATGATGACCACACCTATGACAGCACTCGCCACCAGCACAGGAGACACGAGCAGGTGACTGTGCTCTGAGCTCTCTGAGAATGTGGGGTAGAAGTAGCTGGTGCGGTTGTATCGTGCTACTGTGGACAGAGAGAGGACTCTGAGCTGAGGCCCAGGCCTGCCACACACCTTCTTCCTCCACCTCTGCTGCCCTATGAGTCATGTGTCCTGAAATAAATGGCACATAGTCTGGGGCCAGACCCAAAGATTCCCTCCTGGCCACTCCTCTAGGGAGGAAGGAGGGGATCAGCGCTTCATCCCACTGCCTGGAGGAGTGACCACTTTTCTTTTCCTCTGAAGCCTCTGCCCCAGGAGCTCGACTAACTCACAGAGAGGAAAAGGGAAACTCAGGGAAATGGATTTGTCCAAGGCCACAAAGCAAATCAGTGGCAGAGCTGAGGTTGGCAGGACTTTACCAAGGTCTTGAGAAGGGGCAGGAGATGCAAAGAGGGCCAGAAGATGAAGGAGGATAGGGCCAGCCCGAGAGCCAAGACTGTGCTTACAGAAGTTCACTGGGAGATACTCTCCTGGAGGGGCACACATATGTTTTTGGCTGGACACGCATGCTTCCTGGCTCGGTGATCTGAGGATGCCGGTTTAAGAGGACTTCTGGAGTCACGACGAGGGCCAAATCTGTGCCAGTTTTTAGAGCCCCTGCTATGTGCAGACTCAGTGCTAAGATCTCATTTTATCTTTGGAGTTAGGTTCTTCACCTCTTCTCATTTTACAAGCAGAGACACTAAGGCTCAAGGATATCAAATCACTTACCTGCAGTCATGCAGCCAATATAGGACTGAGCCAGGCCCTCTCTGGGCCCTGGTCTCTCCACTAAGACCATAACGGCCTCTTCAGTACTGCATAATAATAGCACAAAGAGAGGGAAGAGAGAATAGAGTCAAATAGGAGTGACTGGGGTAGCTCACTTCGCACTGGAATCCAGTTTGTCACCATGTAGAGTCTGATCAAATGTATATGGTAAGGCCTAGAGCAACCTCTAGGAACATCACTCAAACAAATATGGTTAAAAATCATGAAAGAAATTAAAATGCAGTAAGTCTGCGACTTACAAACATTCAAGTTGCAAACTTTCACAGACACCCATGGACCGTGCATTGCGAGCATTCGTAGATGTGAACAAATCACGGAAGTAGCTCACGTGTCTGTTGTGACACAGCTGTGCACTTACATACAGTGCAACAGTACACAATGCTACAGTACAGTCGGGGGGCTTACTGTATTGTTGCGGGTGTGTCTGGTTTCTTCATGCTTTATATTGTACATTTGTGTCAAAGGTGTACAAGACTCACTCTGCCAGACTCATAAGCCCATCTGACTTACCAACATTTTCCAAGAATGGAACTTAAAGTTAAAAGGAGAAACAGGGGAACACAAAAGACATGAGACACATGCAAGGTGAAAAGTAAAATAGCAGAAGTAAATCTGACTTTATCAATACTTCTGTCAAATGTGAACCTATTAAATAAGCCAATCAAAGGCAGAGATTGACAGCCTGGGCAAAACACAAGATCCAACTATGTACCATCTAGAGGGATCTCACTTGGGAACCAAAGCTAAAAGTAAAAGAATGGAAAAATATCTACTATGCAAATGTAAGCAAGCTGGAGTGGCCATAAAAATATCAGAAAAAATAAACTTTAAAACAAAAAAGTTTCACTAGAGCTAAGTAGGCCATTTTATAATGATAAAGGGTTGATTCATTAAAAAGTCATAACAATTATCAACATATGCACTTAGACCCAAAATATGTAAACTAATGCAAATAAACTGAGAGGAAATACAGATAATACAATAGTAACAACTGGAGACTTTCATACTCCATTTTCAATTAGGCACAGAAAAACCAGAGAGAAGATTAAAAAGGAAATGGGAAACTTGAATGATGCTACATGTGAATTAGACCCAACAGACATCCACAGACCACTCTGCCAACAACAGTGGAATACACATTCTTCTCGATCACACATTGAATGTTTTCCAAAATAGGCCATATGCTAGGCCATGCAATGAATTCCAACAGATTTTAAATGATTGTTTTTTGTTTTTTGTTTTTTTTGTGTGTGTGGTACTGGGGATCAAAGATTTTAAAGGATTGGTGTTGTAAAAAGTATATATTTTTTGATCACCATGAAGTGAAACTAGAAATGAATAATAGAAAGAAATTTGTGAAATTCACAAATACATAGAAATAAAACAGCACACTAATAAATAACCAATGAGTCAAACAGAAAATCATAAGGGAAATTAAAAAAAAAATAGTTTGACATGAGTGAAAAGGAAGACACATCATACCAAAGCTTGTGAGATGAAGCTAAAGCCGCGTTCAGAGGGATGTCTATAGCTGTGAATATCTACATTAAAAAAGGAAAAAAAGATGTCTGATTAACAAATAACCTTCCACCTTCAGATACTGGAAAAGAAGATTAATTTAAATGCTAAGCAAGAACAAGGAAATAAATAAAGATTAAAGTGGTAATTGTGAAAGAGACTAGAAAAAAGGAGAAAAATCAATGAATTAAAAAGTCAGTTCTTTGAAAAAGCTAAAAAACAAAACAAAACAAAACAAATCAAACCTTTATTTAGAATGACCAAGGTATGGGGTGGGAACAAGAAGGGAAGACTCCAAAGTACTAACATCAGAAATGAAAGTGAGGACATTAATACAGACCTTACAGCAATTGGAGTTGTCAAGGCATACTATGAGCAATGAAATGCCCCTACACTGGATAACTTGCATGAAACGGTATAAATTTATCAATATATATATATAAAACTTAGCAAATAAGCACAAGAAGAAACAAGTTGTGAATAAATCTGTAACTAGTATAGAGATTGAATTAATAATTTTTAAAAATCCACAAAGAAAAGCTCAGTATTACATAGCTTTACTGCATGTTGGGTGAATTCTCCCAAACATTTAAAGAAGAGAAAATTATCTGTAAGAGGAATGGAATTTCAATTTGGGAAGACGCAGAAAGTTCTGGAGATGAATAGTGTTATCGTTACAAAACAACATAAATATTCTTAATGCCACTGAACTGGATACTTAAAATGGTTAAAACAGTAAAATTTATCTTTATATATTTTTACCAAAATTTTAAAAAACTACACAAAACCCTAAAATTTTCACACTTTTTAAAAACATAGAGGTGAGAATATTTATCAATTTATTCTGTAAAGCCAGAGTTACCCTGACACTAAAACAAGACACAGACATTACAAGAAAATTAAGGAACAATAATTCTTATGAATATAGACACAAAAATTCCCAGAAAATACCAGTAAATTGAGTACAGCACTACAGGACCTCATGGTTTTGACAACCAATTCTGGTTCAGTTCTTAGATATGATCACCAAGGCATGAAAAGCAAAAGAAAAACATAAACATAAAAATTCTTTATCAAAGGACACCATTAAGAGGGTCAAAAGACAACCTATAAGAAGATAAAATATCTATGAATCACATATCACATAAAGTTCTTGTACCTATAACAAACTATTATAATTCCAATAATAAGTAGATAACTCCATTAAAAAGAAGCAAAAGATCTAAACAGATATTTTACCAAAGACACAACTGCCAATAAGCTCATGAGAAGATGCTCAACGCTCTTAGCCAGAGGTAAATATACACTAAAGTCACAGTGAGACAGCACTTCACTCTCACTAGGGTGGCTAGAATAACAGACTGAGTATGGTGAGGATGTGGACATTGGGCCCTACATAAACCGCTGATGGGACCACGAAGTGGTGCAGCTGCCTTGCCAGTCTAGTGGTTAACACAGGACCACATGATTCAGCAACTGCCCTCCCAAAATGCCCACCACAAAATGAAAATACACATCTACAAAAATTTATACATGAATATTTATAACAGGATTATCGATGTGCCCCCTCCCCCAAGTACCTGGCACATGGCTGCCTTTCACTCATGTTTAGATCTTTCTTTAGAAGTCATCACCTCAGAGATTGTCACAGTTCAGATGTTGAGCATCCCCTGAAGGTCCATATGTAAAATCTTGGTGCCCAGGGTGATGCTACTGGGAGGCAGTAGAACCTTTGGGAAGTGGGGCCTTGTGGGACATGCTTAGGTCATGGGGGCTTGTCCTTCAAAGGGATTGTGGAAATAGGGTTTATCTCTTTCTGCTTTGATTGGAGATGTGAGTCTTTTGCTCTCACAGCAAGTGGTGATGAAGTAAAGGGGTGGCCCTCATCAAGCCTGCCCCATGCCATTTGGACTTTGAACCTTCAAAACTGTGACCTAAAACCTTTTTCTCTTTATAAATTAACTGACTCAAGTAATTCATCATAGTAACACGAAACTGACTGACCTACTCCACTGTATAGCATATCACCCTATTTGTTTTCTTCAAAAGCATGTATCACAGTCTCTAAACATCCTGCTTGTTTGTGGTGTTATGCCTTTGGGTTTCTTGCTCACTTTACTGAATTGTTAGCTCCTTGAAGACAGAAATTCCATCTGTACAGAATTGTTCAGTGAATCTGCAGCACATTGCCAACTGCCAGGTACTGAAGATGTGCTCATTAAAAATTTGCTGGATGACTGAGGGAACTGCAGTGGACTTAGTTGACTCTATGTCTGTTTTCCCATTAAGCAAGAATTCAATTTCTTTTCTATTTTTTGACTTATTGTGACAGCTTGCATTCTGGATGAAATACCAACTTCTCATTTTTATTTCATTGCCTGTCAGCTACTGTAAGCTAATGTTTTCCATTTTTCCTAAAACTCACAGATGAAAGGTGAGGAGGCTCCCTTCTATCTCCTCTCAGGCAAAAGAGATCAGCTTAAACTCTCTTGTCTGATTTCCACCCAGGGGCAATCTAGTCCTTAGCTAGTGAATCTAATAGCATGCCTGCCACCAATTCTTATCTGTGCTAAGGGCAGACATTAGTAATCGACCATGTTTCTCTTTTGTGTTTAGCCTAGAAGGTAGCCTCAGCATCTTTTCCAACACACCATTCCATACAGTGACTTCAACTGCCTAAAACTGAGTTTTTGGCCACCACTCATCCAGTGTAACATAGGATGCCATGGTACTCCTGAATCAATGACCATGCTCTCCCTCCACCATGAAACCATTCACCCTCAGAAGCAAGGAACCAAGGGAGGAGTGTGTGTGTGTGAAACAGTGTGTTGGGGCCAAGAATCTTGCTCACAGTGGGGTCGGGATTGTCTTATTCTGACCCTGGGATGCTGCAGAGGTTTTTGACACACTGGTTACTCCATGATCCAAAGTAAACCTCCTTTGGCTACAGAGCTTGTCACAGGACTGCTGGTGCCCAGACTGTTCACCTAGGGATCTCTGTGTGTGTGTGCACGTGTGTGTGCTTGCTCTACACATCCTGCAGAACCTGCCCCTGCCAAGGTGTCAGATCCATGAGTCACCATGAAGACACTCCCTCCACCTGCCACAGTGGCAGTGACAGCCTTGCCCTGTCTGGCAACTCTGAGCTCATTACCAGCTGGGCAGGAGATGGCATCCCCCGTGCCTGCAGATGAAGCCAGTTGGCACCGGTGTCCACCTGCATGGCTGGCTGGGAAATTAATCTCCCGGTCACTGTGACTAGCAGACATAGATGCTGCTTTAAATTATGAAGGAAACTTCTCATTTATAAGCACAGGACCTATTTGATCAAGAAGATGAATAAGACCACAGAGAAATAACAGTCTGACAGTGTCCTTCCCACCCCCTCTACCTCCCTGTCCCTGTGCCAGCTGGGGCAAGGACAGAGGATGAAGCAAGTTTTACCTCTGTCCTGAACTTTCTCCCCAAAGGTACCCAGGATTAAGTGCCAACTATACTTCTTCCCCTACATTCCAGCAGGAGTAGGTACCATCTCCTGAGTACCTACTGTGTGTACTGCACAATGCTCGATACTTTTCATGCACTATATTATCTCATTTAATCCTTGTGATGGCCTGTGATGGGATCCCCAGTTAACAGGTAAGGAAACAGCCACAGAGGGGTAAAGAAGCTTCACCAGGTCACATGGCATTGCAGACAGGGACCTGGATAAGCAAGAGGCTTAAACCCACTGTTCATTATCTGTTCTGCATTGGTATTCAAATGCTATTCTGTGGACACTGGGCACTGTGCCCTGATGAATTTGTGTTTTTTTTTTTTTTTTAAGCTTGGGACCTACGATGAGAGATTAGTGAAATGTAGGAATCAGAAAGGTGGAGGCTACAGAGGAGGCTGGTGGAGGCTGAGGTTGAAGAGGCTGGTGGGGCCAGACCAAGAGGGTTCTTGAAGCCAAATAAAGAGACTGTCCTTTATCTCTGGGGCAAAAAGGAGACAAGGGAATGGTCAGAGTGTTTTAAAACAGCTCTCTGGCTCCAGGGTGGAAGACAATGGGCAGGGCCAAGTGGAGGCAGGAGATCGGTGAGGAGGCTGTTGGAAGGAATCACCTGAGCAGACAGCTAGGGACAGAACATAGAGCAACGGTCAGAGGAATGCACAGAATGACACTGCAGAGATTTCCCTGGCCCTCGAGATAACCCTGGTATTATTCCCATCCTGTAGGTCAGGTGCCAAGACCCCCAAAGAGCTGGATGGTGCCTGGATCCTTAGGACACTGAGGAGCCAGGAAGAAGCCAGCTCTGGTGCTTCTGGACATCTCTGATCCAGGGCAGGGACTGGGAACCCCCCTTGATTCTGAAGGTCCTGAATGACCCAGGCTGGCTGTGGGAGCTCTCTCCTGGGCTTGCTTCTCTGTCTGTAGATGACACTGTCACCCCCATTTGCAGATAAAGGCATTGCATCTTGGTGAGCAGAAGTTATGTGCTCAAGATTGTTCACCTCATTTGTGGTGGATCTGGGATTTGAACCCAAGCTGTCTGATAATACATGAAAGAGCAGCACAGATCAAGTGCTATAGCTCGGATGTGGTTCATCCCCAGAGGTTCCTGTGCTGGAAGCTTGGTCCCAATATGCAGGATCTTTCAGCAGTGAGGCCTAGGGGAAGGTGATTAGTCCACAGAGGCACCACTCCCTGTTGGGATTAATGCAGATCTGAACTGCTCTAAGAGACAGCCTAGCTTCTCGTCCATGTCTTGCTTCCTCTCTCGCCATGTAACTCCTCTCTCTCCCACACATATGCTCCTGTCATGTGATGCTATCTTTCATGCAGCCTGCATCAGAAGCCAGTGCCAGTCCATACTCTCAGACTGCCACCTGTGAGCCAAAACACCTCTTTTATTTATAAACTAAGAAGCCTCAAGTATTTTGTTAGATCAACACAAAATAAACCAAGATAGCAGGGAAAGAGAACAAGATAGGGGAATGAGAGGCAGAAGAACTATGTTCTATTCTTGGTTCTACTACTCTC